GGGGGGGGGGGGTGATAGAATACGTTGGAAATCTCAAAAATCGACGGAGAAAAAGGGTGTAGCGTGTTAAATGGATCACCCGCCAGCCGGCCTGCCGCCTCACCGCCTTTGCCGCCTTTGCCGCCAACGAAGGGCGCTCACGAAAAGTTTGCGTGTGCGCGACCGCGTGTGCGCGTACACGCATTTCCACACACCGTCAAAAGCACCGCGGGACTTTTGTCAGTCGTACTTCGGGCGCCGCGCGCGAACAACAAACCGAAAACCATCCGGCCAGCGTGTCGTCGCCGGATCGCCGCCAACGGGGCACGGGATCGCAGTGGTCGTCGTCGTCATCATCATCAACATCACCATCGTCTTAGTAAAAATATAATATTATTACCATAAGTGTCAAATTACAGTGTTATTTTAGTGTCGTTCTGTGTATTAATTTTTTTTCGAGATACATATCATAACAATTATACGTAAGTCGTTGCCTCGGTATAATATTATTTCGATTCGTTTGATTACCGGAAAACCCGTTAATCACTGCGCCGGTGGTCTGTTGGTTTTATCGTCATATTGTTATCGTGGTTATATTCTTCGGAGGCGGTGACGACGACGGCGATGACGGCGAACGAGAAGATCTCGACAGTCACAATGTGATCGAAGGTCGCCATAAGAATCGCAAAGGGGAGACTACGACGTTTTATGGAAACGCGTGGCCGTCCGGTACCTGGCCAGTGGTGAACGACCGATAGCCGCACTGCAGCAGCCGTCATGTTCGCGGCCGCGTGGCTGCTGTTGGCCGCGGTCGCCGGCTTGGCGGTGGCCAGCGAGTATCCCGAACGCGAGTGCTGCGATCCCGTCAACCCGCCACCGGCGTCCATGTCCGCGACGCCCGATTACGCGGCGGCTGCCGGCCACGAGGTCGCGCCGCCCACGGCCACAGCAATCGACGGACACCGGGGTACGGATTTTTAAAAACAAACTATTTTCGGTGTTTTTAGCTTACATTTTAAACCCTCTCTTTCTCCCTCCCTCTCTTGAAATTGTGAACGACAACGATATATATAATATAGTATTAGGTTAAGGGAATAACTGCTGAAAAAAATCACTTAGTTAAATCTAAGCTCGTCGAGACTCTAATTTCTTGTGGGCACTGAAGATGAGTTGTAGAATAGAATATTGTTATTCGTCTGTCAAATTGGTAAAAACGTATGTACGATATGCACCCTATACTTTTATCATGTTCGGAGTAATTCATTATTGTAACTTCACAATATAATACTATTATAAATCATATTATGATCTATGGATTTTTACATGTTATGATATCAAAGTACATGCGGTCTAACCAATTTTTGGATACTTTCTATAACCGAATTGCTTATAACCTGCCTATTCTAAACTATGCTCAAATTATTAAAGTCGCATTGCTCTATGTTATGACCAGTGGTGTTTTAGAGGGCATCCAGATTAAACCCAATTATTATTTGGTGAATTAGTAAATACTCGGTAAAGATTGAACAAATTCAGACGTCTACTTTAATTTTTTTTTAAATTGTTTAATCTGTATTTTATGTTATTATTTTATTGTCATATGACATTAAATATAAATCATCAAGAAGTTAGAAATACGTAACAAGTAATTAATATTGGTTATTACTTATTAACACTTTTAAGTGTACTTAATGGTATAGTAAATTATCGTTAGTGAGCGACGACCGAGATTATTGTAGTCCTTATGATAAAAATATGTTCGACCCATAACAGAGTACCTAAGAAGAATTTATTATCAAGTTCAATATTATAAAATGTTAAATGTTGCCTATAAAATAGTTGTTAATACTTAAATAAATAAACACAAATGTACAAAACTAGGTAACAAAAAATTTTTTTGTAAGATGAAATGATTGTTCGCTAGCAAATCGAGAGGCTTTTTGAAGGATTGAATCCGATTAATTTTACGCTTATTAAATCACAATATTGTATATTTTCATCATAGCCTGTATTGCATCATTAAATTCATAAATGAGCTTTACCCTATAGTTTTTTTTATGGAAAACCCCGGTGGCTATGACATATAACAATACGAGTCTTATGTGTATGAATAATAATTATTGCACACACATTATCGTAATATAGACACTTCACGCCCGCTTTATTATATTGTTGTTTAGGTTTAGTTAAATATTGTTGTGTGCGGTATGTGCTCAGTGCACATAGGATTCCTATTTCCTATGCACAATCGTACAAATATACGTCACTTGAACGTCCAGCGATCGTATACGTTTATCGTGTATACAATAATTATATCATCATAAATCATGATACACGATTATACTATTTTAAATAAACCTATAATAACTGTTGTATTATATCGTGGTTAGATACTATTGTTTCATTTCGGTTTATTTTTTCATCCTCTATTATATCACACCTTAAAAACGTATTGTGCTGTAATCTTCCACCACAAAACCCCCTTTAGCGGATCTTGACTCGACAAGTAACGGGGTAAGTATATGCGTACACAATACTATTACTACTACTACTACTACTACTACTACTACTACTACTACTACTAATAATAATAATAATAATAATAATAATAATAATAATAATAATAATAACAACAATAATCTTCGTCGTCATCGCGAGGTTCTCGTATCGAATGAAACGAGGTACTTCATACAGCACGTCTGCGACTATAATGTCGTTTTATTTCGGAATATTATTCGATTCAGAATAAAAAAAGTTGAGATGAATAATTATTATACTATTGTTTCATGAATTATCTATAAACACGGGTGTTAGAAACTCAGCTGCCAGAGCTCCGATTTCGATAAATAACAATAATAAATATTTCATTTTTATTGCTCGGACCTTCGACCGCTGTACGTGGTTTCACCGCTGCCTTTTGGTTTTTGGCGCATTATGGTAGTAAAAATTAAATTAAAAACAAACGCTATGTATATAACGGTTTTAGTTGGGCACCACATGCAACTTACCATTTTAACCGTCGTCACCGACGCCACACCGCCGACGACGCCGCCGTCGTAGCACACATAATATAAGAATCAATATCTTAGAGGGCATATAATATTATATACCCATTATTATGACGTCCAAACATTTTTTTAGCCGCGGCCTAAATACCACATCAAATCGTTTTTCCTCGACATTTCATTTCGGCCAACATGATAATAAACTTGAAAAAATATAGTATACTACCTAAATATTATATACACTATATATACGGAAATAAATAAATATGTCTATACATATATAAATGTTATACGTTGTAAACTCATGCGTCCCGCACCATTATTTCAGACTATAATGATACATAATGTTAAGAGGTGGTAATAACGTATAAAAGTAAAAATATTCAACTTAGATTAATATTTAATGACTTAGCGAACCTACGGAGTATATAGTTTTTCACCGTATATAACGGCTATGTAGTACAAAAGGAACTTTGCCGAAATTGAAGAAAACATCAGTAGCTCAATTTGGCAGTTTCTTATAAAACAATATTATTATTGTTTGTATATTATTATTTATCATCTCACAGTAGCATTTATTTGTTTACCTAACCTAACTTCTAATTTGTTTATATTTTATTGATACATCAAAACAAAAACCAACCTCTCTTCATAAAATTTCTTGTTGCCATATTTATGATAATCATATATAAATTTGTCGTTATATTTTCGTATACACAAGGTGATTTTTTTAAAGTAAGCTTTTCGTTTAAATTATACATTTATTACAATTTTGATTTTTGGAATTTTTTAATAAGCTTGAAGACCACTTATTCGAATACTTGAGATCTTTTGGAAAACTATTAAGGATGATCCTGTGACAATACAAATTTCTATTTTTCAAATACGACCTCCTCCCCCTTTTTAATTAAGTAGATTATTAGGATTAGTATTATCAATTATTCAACAGATATATTTTTTTTTTGAGAATTTTGGAGTATCTAAATCAAAATTTTAAAGAGTAGATTTTGAGTTATATAATAAATTTGCGCAATTACACCTATATAATAAATACTACACCTAATATTACTTATAGTTTATATTTTTTTAAAATAATTTTTAAGGATTATTATCCTTAGTACAAAGATACTAATAACTCAGGAACTACTACTCATTGGAATTTTAATTTAGATACATAAACATTTTTAAGAACATCATCCGCTAAATATTTTTCAGTTAAAAAAGGGTGGGTCCTCATTTGAAAAATAGGAGTTTGTATATCACCTCAGCTTAAGTGGTCCAACAAATATCGGAAATTCGAAAATATGGTGTCTAGGTAAACTCAACAATTCTAAAAGTCAATTTTAATAAATGTACTATTAAAGCAAAAAATGAGCATGCAAATAACCCTGTATATTATACTATTATTATCACATATATTATTAATTTAAATATTATAATAGATTATCACAATAGGTATGCTAAATGTTTGGCATTAAAAAGTTTAATCAATAGTTTTCAAATGGACTCAATGAAATTTAATTTTGGCAAAGTTCCCGTATTATGTTCACTAATCATTATAGTGTTACAACTTAATTACAAATTAATTATGATTACGATTTTTACTACCTATAACAGTATGTCTTATAAAATATATTATGAGAAATAATTTATTAAATAACTGAGTAAATATTTACGACCATAAAATACTAATTCATTTAAATTTCCTTGAATAGGTAGTGTTAAATGTAAATTAGATTAATTGATATTTATATTTTTTCATTTATATTTAACAGCATTATTTTAATAATTAATTAGATATTTGGAAGGTACAAGCACGATTGCATAGGTACCTACCTGTATAGTACATACAAATAACCAGCCCCAGCACTTAATAAATTAAATTTGCTTAAAATAAGTAATAACAAGCAAACATATGATTTCAAAACAAAATAAATGTACATATATAAACACGAGGTAGTGAATTAATTTTTTAAACAAACAAAATATGTACATTTTATTAAAAATGCAAGTAACCGTGATAGTAATAATTACATATTAGTAAGGATGTTAAGAGATATTTTTTTAGTTTTTGATTTTTTCGATTCATATTATAAATGAACATTATGTAGTTAAATATTTATCATATATCGGTAGGTAGGTATCATTGAATAATATAAACAGTAAACATTTTTAAAAGGCCATCCAAATATAAAACATAAATCCTAATAACTGTTATAAGTTATACTATTTGACCTATAAACAGATCAGAATTTAATATATTATTTAGTACCTCTACCAGTAAATGCGTGTAAGTTATAAGAACTTATATATTATATTTTCTGAATACTCGATTGAGTATATATATACTAGACAAAACCTTATTGTTCATTACTATTTTACTAATGTACTACTACATTTAAATTTAAGTCATTTTTATATTCTATACAATGTTTCGACAATAAATAAACTCTTCTTGTAAGTTTAATTTTTTGTTTGTAACTTTTTTGATTACTCGCTGTACATATAAACAATATAATGTACCATAATATTATGAGTTGGAACTTTTTTTTATGTTTAATTAAATGCAATAATATCCTAGTCAAGTCTGAAATTGCAATTTAAAACAATTTTAATACATGTTTATAATATCTTTATCGTCTCACGTTTGTATATAAATGTCTAAATAATCATAACTCGATATTGTATGGGTATCACGATTTAGAAAAAAGTTTGGTTGTAAAATAAATTACAACATTTTTGTGTAGTACTACAGTATAATATGATTAAAGTCAGCTCGATAAATTGTAACTTCTTGAGTTGAGAAAATAAAACGTTCTGATTAAAATCGTCCACTCCCACGAGTAACATGATACACGCACCAAGTGAGGTACCTACTACGGTTATAGCACTTACATTGCGGATCTGTCTTGAGCGCAGAAATACTGCAACATCCTAGATTAAATTATTCATTAATTTATTG